ACCTTGTAGCTTTTATTGCAACTACCAAATGATCTGAGCTGGTAGGGAATGTGTGGCTGAAAAAAACGAATGTACTGTAATACACCACGCATCTCGTTAAGCTCCTGACTGTCTTACTTCCTATGTAAACCCTCCTGACAAGTACTTCTAGCTTATTCTGTTCATTGTGAGCCTTAGAGAGTGGAAGGGCAGAGGGTGAGTGATATCTTGGTCACACAAATATGCTGTCTGCGTTTAAACAGAGGGGTAGGTGAGCTCTCATTAAAGGCAGTCAGTGAATCTATAGGGAAACCCTTTCCCGGTCAGTCTTTCTTTGTTTCTGTCGATTTAATTTACATGCAATTTTTAGTGGATTTAAGATATGCTCAAAGTAAACCAAAACTGTTCACACAGGAGTTTGCTCTAATTTAGTTAAATCACTTTTTAGAAGTGACTTTAGGGGGCTGGCTTATTTACTGCCCAATTCTTGTGCGTGGACAACTCCCCCGTCACTTCCCACGCTGTACGCCTCGCTGCCTGCTCCGTCTGCCTTCACGGGGGGAATGTGATTTCGGGCTCCCGTCGCTAGACCAGTGTCACAGAAATGTTGCCCAAGTATGAGGGCTACACAGCTGGTTAAGATTTCCTCTAAAAACTGGGATGGTCTAATTCTGTGAAGGCAGGAGCTACGCCAAGTATTGTCTCTACCCACATGGCCCCCAAAAAGGCAAGCACCAAAGCCTGAAGTCCAGAAAAACTCTATATCCTCCGCTTTAGACCATTTACCAGTGGTAAGGTCATCTATATGTACTCTTTATCCAAATCCCACTAGTACTGCTGAGTGATGCAGTAACACAGGAATCCAATACTAATGAGTAGGGACCTGCAGACAGAGAGAAGCAGCTAATGGATTACTAATTCATACTCCTTACTTTAAGGAGGCGTCTTGGGGCTAACAACCAAAAAATTAAAACTTAAATTAGTCTATAGAAGAAAGTTGTGTAAGGCAGCAGAATATATTATCATCCAAAGTAGAGGAAAAAAGCATGCTAATATTTTTATTATGAATTAATTTCAAAATCCCTGAATCTAGATTCAAATGTAATAGGACTTATGTCTTGGGTTCGTAACTTTCCATCGTTTCAGTCCAAATTCTGACCTATTTAAGAGACCACAGTTATTAATATTTCCTATTATTCCTGCTCCTCAAACTTTTCAACTGGATTTCTCCAAGGTGTTCTTTGTTCTCACTCCTACTTTCCTCTTCATTTTGAAAGTATCAGTTCTGGGAAGTGGCTGAAAGACAGAAAAACACACACATAAAAAATTTTTGACTGCAGGTATCCATTGTAAAATATTCCTTTTTTCCTGGAGGAGAGATGAAGGTGAATCAGGAAATGGATGGCTTTTTCAGATCACATGAATCAGTACCCCAGAATTCATCATTTTCACCACATATCTGACTGCTTTTAGGGACTTGAAGTCAGGCGGCCCTTGTTTAAGGCTCATATAACGACTTCTTTAACTGCCTTATCTGTCAGAAACTTTCATGAAAAGAAAGAGGCAATTACTAAAAATCAGCTCACACATTTATAAATGCAAGTGAACATCTATTTATATTATATAGTTGTGTCAAAAATATCACCTTAAGCATTCATAATGTTACACCATTTTGTTTATAAACAGCCTAAATCATACAAATATCGTAAAAAATACTACTTTATTCTCTCTTTTGATTGCAAATGGTAAATATAAACTCATCAGATTGAACATCTAGCTCTCAAAAGCCAAGTAATTTAGAATCTCATCTCACTGTTCCTAATTCATAGATATTACAGGTACTAGTCCGTGTTTAAATGTTTTAAATACAGCACAGAACGCGAGACAATAGTTTGACTGAAAACAGGAGAGAGTTTGTACCTCTGGCAGGTATTTCCCTGTGATTTAAAGCAAGCGTTACAATGGTGGCTTTTGCTAAGATAATTTAAAGTTTCGCTCAGTCTGAACTTGTCTTGTGTTTGACACTGGGGTTCGCGCTCCTGTGCTATAGCCTTGCATGTCCTGCTTTTTAACTGTACATTCCCCACGGGAACCAGCCGAGGGTGACACCCAGATATGGCAGATTCACGATGATCCACCCGTGGAAGATGACTTTGCTCAGTGCAGGAGGGAACGCTGAGGACTCACACAACTCAGATGCGCCAGACCAGATACTTTCCTGAATCAAAATGGGAAGGAAGGAAGAAACAGCGATGTCGACCTGATGAATAGGTCACATAAGGAAGGCCGACCGCACAAACTCTGTTCTTCAGCATTGGTTCTGGAAAGGGAGCCTGTTCACATGGTCTGCTCTGGAACGGTCACCAGGATGGTTACTCCTGAGTCGTAGGTGGTGTGGTTTTAAAAACAAAAAGCAGGCAATTGACTGTGAGATTGTAAAGTTTTCCTCTGCATGTTTCTCATGAAGTAAACAAAAGCAACTGATATTTTCAGTGGAGTGAAAAAAACAAAATGCAATGAAGATAAAGCCTTTGAGCTCTGTCATTGTGAAGCAAGTGAGGTCTCTTCATAGAATCATAGACTAGTTTGGGGTGGAAGGGACCTTTAAAGGCCATCTAGTCCAACCCTCCTGCACTGAACAGGGAGATCTTTCACTAGATCAGGCTGCTCAGAGCTCCATCCAACCTGACCTTGAATGTTTCCAGGGAGGGGGCATCCACCACCTCTCTGGGCAACTTGTTCCCATGTCTCACCACCCTCACTGGGAAACATTTCTTCCTTATATCAAGTCGGAATCTACTCTCTTTCAGTTTAAAACCATTACCCCTTGTCCTAATGCTACAGGCCCTACTAAAAAGTCTGTCCCCATCTTTCTTAGAAGCCCCCTTTAATTACTGACAGGCTGCACTAAGGGCTCCCCGGAGCCTTCTCTTCTCCAGGCTGAACCCCCCCAACTCTCTCAGCCCGGCCCCCCAGGGGAGCTGCTCCAGCCCCCCCAGCATCTCCGTGGCTCCTCTGGCCCCGCTCGAGCAGCTCCGGGTCCTTCTGCTGTTGGGGGCCCCCGAGCTGGCCCCAGCACTGCAGGGGGGTCTCCCCAGAGCGGAGCAGAGGGGGACAATCCCCCCCCTGGCCCTGCTGCCCCCCCTGCTCTGGCTGCAGCCCAGGGCACGGGTGGGTTCTGGGCTGCCAGCGCACGGGGCTGCCTCACGGGCAGTTTTCCATCCACCAGTAACCCGCAGTCCTTCCCAGCAGGGCTGTCCTCAATATTTTTTTCCTGTGACAGAAACATAGCTCAAGGTTCAGTTTTACCAAAGTTAAGTCTTCCCCCTTTTTTTTTTTTTTTTTTATTTTTTCCTTTTAGCCTAACTTAAACTTCAGGCTTACAGTATCTGACTTTGTTTTTCTAAATGGTGAAAGACAGACGTTATTACCCAAGGTGCTTTTGATGGGTAATGTGAAGACAGGCCTTCCCTTACACCACGGTTTCCCACCTAAACAGATGGAAATCCACCCCCTTCCCTGCTTTCTAACACTCCTTATATCCTGCCACCACAGGGAGGAGCTGAAATCTGGCTTTCCACCAAACTGGCCCAAAGCCTGAAGGTGCTGGGCAGCCTTTCCTCTTCCAACTGCAGCACCTCTCTGCTTTCACATGCTGCAATCCCTTAACATGCTAGGCTCTATTTTGTTGCAAGAAAGGATCCAGAATTAGTAACAGTGAGAAACAAAATAACAGGAAAATACAGGGCAGAGGAGGAGGTGATCGGTACTGGAAGGAAGGCTGGATGGAATTGGGACTTGGTCCTGTTAGGGTTTTCTTTCCTTCCTTAAATCAGAGAGCAGAGCTTCTCCTGCATCTTTCTCACCTACTCGCAGCATAATACTTCTAGACTCTGTTAGGATAGCCTTATTTATTTTGGTTATAGTAATACATAGAGACTTAATGGGATCGAGACACCACTGTGCAAAGTACCTGTCCAGACCCCAAAACTGTCAGCCGCTACTTGCAAGAGTATGTTTGGGTATTGCTTTGCCTAAAATTGCTCATTTCACTCAAATAATCCTATTTAACTCTGCATTTAGACATAGCACAGACTATCAGGGAACATTAAATAATGTTACATTCTGTAGCTTTATTTCAAACATCGGTTAATCTCACGGCCCGTTTCATATATTTTTGCCCATGAGCTTCTCAAAATAAAATAAAATGAAATAGAATTAATCATTGACATCATTACTGTTCTTCCATGAGACTGGTAGTTAGCTATAAAGCACAGGACTTAAAACCTCTGGGAATGATATAGAGAAAGTATGATTCAAGTGGAATTTTTCTTAGGATGTAACATATATCATTAATCCAGTACCATACAAAGCTATAAATGTTGTGGGATTTGGGGTTTTGTTTTATATATATACCCGTTGCTTCATAGCTAAACTGCAGAGGAATTGCTAGGTGCTAAAACGTACATCACTCCAGGTGTTAAAATTTTGATTTTTTTTTTACTGGTAGTTGATGTTGCATGCACAATGCTTACTCTTCATAGATAAAGTATGGATGCTTGGCTTTTGGTGTTTGTTTTTTTTTTTTTTTTTTTTTTTTTTTTTTTTTTTTTTTTGTTGTTTTTTTTTGTTTGTTTTTTTTCCTAGCAGTCGGAAGAACGAGTATATCTCCTCTTTAAAAAGTCTAAAGTTACTGTAATAGGTGAAGATACATACATAGCATGGGACTTGCTGATGTGAACAGATATGTCTGAAAAACATTCCAAGGAAGTTAACCGAGTACATATGTGAATTGTCTTACACCTGCAGTTACTTTGATGGTAATTTTTAGGTGTAAAATGGATTCTTTTATTTCGACAGGAATATTTTTTTCTGTAGCTGAGGAAATTTCTCGGGAAAGTGATCCTACATAAACATACCTTGGTGTCTTACAGAACTGGACTGTTATAAATAAGGAAATGTCCTTGACTGTCAGGGTTATGTGACTGTAATGGAAAAAAAGTTTGGCCTTAAGTATCTGCTTTTGTGGTTTGGGTGTGGGTGTTCATTTTTTTTTTTTTTTTTTTTTTTTTCTGTAATACCAAGAAGCAATCAGAAAGAATGTTCCGAATTCCAGAGCTTCAGTTTTAGCGATAATTTCAAACTTTAACTTTTCTCCTTGAACAAGTTTCTTTTATAATGGAGCCAAAGTATCATTCTCCCTTCAGCTGGCTGTTCCAGGCAATTTGGATTTGCAACGTTTTGGCTTGCAGAGGTTTTGATTTTAGTTGTTTTAATTAAGTATATTTTTACAGGATTACTGTAGCATGGATCAATTCCATGGTTTTGTTTATTTTCATAAACTCTCAGTGCTTTTAGTCTCCTAAATCGAGATCTTGCTGCAAACAGCACAAGTCAGTCTCTGCTGCGGTTTGTACTAGAAACGTGCAAATGCTGCCATAAAAGAAAAAAAAAAACAACCAAACAACCAACCCAACAACAAACGACCCAAAACTTTGACGGCATTCATTTAGCATACACGTACGGACAAAAATAACCTCCCGCTTCGGTACAGATGGGTTGGCTAAACACAAAGGCACGCGCCGAAAATACCGGGAGCGCGGAAGCGCAGCCGCACGTACCTGCGGAGATGCTTGCGCGCCCCGGCCGCCGGCCCCGCGGTGCCACGTCTGCCGGCCCCGCGCACGCCGCGGGACCTTTATAGGGAACCCTCCCGGGGCCTAAAAATAAACTTGCGGGGCTGCCACGTCCACCCGTGCCGGAGAGGGAGGGGAGGGGGCGGAGAGGGACGCGCCGCAGGCTTTGACGTGGTCGCGGAAATGTCAGCGCCGCGCTTCCCCCGCGCAGCGCCCAGCCGCGCAGCGCCCAGCCGCGCAGCGCCCAGCCGCGCAGCGCCCAGCCGCGCAGCGCCCAGCCGCGCAGCGCCCAGCCGCGCAGCGCCCAGCCGCGCAGCGGGCCGGCTCCCGGGGCCGCCGGTGCGCGGCTTGCGCGGCCCCGCGGTGGGGACGCCGGGCTTTGGCTGGCCGGCGGCGCGCAGCACCGGCGCAGGCAGGCGCTCCCGTATCCCCCCCCCCCCCCCCCGGGTCTCCTTCGCCCCCTCTACCTGCTGCGCCCCGGCAGCGCCGGGCCCTCCCGTCCCGCGGGAGCCCCCCGCGGACCCCGGCACCCGCGGAGCTGCCCCTCGCCCGCCGCCTCCCCCCTTCCCTCTCCCCCCTGCCCTCTCCCCCCTGCCCTCTCGCCCCTTCCCTCTCCCCCCTGCCCTCTCCCCCTTCCCTCTCCCCCCTTCCCTCTCCCCCCTTCCCTCTCCCCCCTTCCCTCCCCCCCTGCCCTCTCCCCCCTTCCCTCCCCCCCTGCCCTCTCCCCCCTTCCCTCCCCCCCTGCCCTCTCCCCCCTTCCCTCTCCCCCCTTCCCTCTCCCCCCTTCCCTCTCGCCCCTTCCCTCTCCCCCCTTCCCTCTCGCCCCTTCCCTCTCGCCCCTTCCCTCTCGCCCCTTCCCTCTCGCCCCTTCCCTCTCGCCCCTTCCCTCTCGCCCCTGCCCTCCCCCCCTTCCCTCTCCCCCCTTCCCTCTCCCCCCTTCCCTCTCGCCCCTTCCCTCTCGCCCCTTCCCTCTCCCCCCTTCCCTCTCCCCCCTTCCCTCTCCCCCCTTCCCTCTCCCCCCTTCCCTCTCCCCCCTTCCCTCTCCCCCCTTCCCTCTCCCCCCTTCCCTCTCCCCCCTTCCCTCTCCCCCCTTCCCTCTCCCCCCTTCCCTCTCCCCCCTTTCCCTCTCCCTCCCGCTGCCGCAGCTCGCCGGGATTTGTTGTGCTCAGTTGTACCGGCGCTGGGGCTCCCCCTGCTCAGATCTGATCGCGAGGAGAAGCCTCAGGTCATGCTTTTTGGACTGCGGTAAGTAAAGGGAAATAAATAACAATAATAAATATATATATATAAATAAAATCAACCCAAACCCTTAAAAAATATGTATACACGCACATATATATATATATATACACACACATATATATATATATATATAAATAAAATCAACCCAGACCAAACCCCAAGCACAAAAATCTCAACCGGTTGCAACTTCTCGGCTGGCCCGGAGGGGGGAGCGCGGGGGAGGCAAAGGGAGGGATGCGAGCTGGCCCCAGCCCGGGGCAGCGCGGGCTGCGCGGCGACCCGCGCAGCGCCGGCGGGCGGGAGCCCCTCGCCCACCCCCCCCCCCCCCCCCCCCGCAGCTGCCGCTGCTCCGCCCCCCGCGGCGGGGCGCGGGAAGGGAGCGGAGCTTCCGCGCCGCCAACTTGGGGGGGAGCGGGCGGCTGCGCGGGGCTGCGCGGGGCGCGGCTGCGGCCATGGCGGCGTGAGGCGGCGGCGGGGAGCCCCGCGGAGCCTCCAGGTAACACACACCCCCCCCCCCCCCCCCCCCCACGTACCGCGCTCCGGCTGGAGGGGGTGGGGGGGGGCGCGACGGGGGCTTTCGGAGGGGCGCGGGGGTGGCGCGTCCCCGGCCGCCCCGCGTGGGCTTCGCCGGGGCGCCCCGCGGGGCGTGGGGGGGGGGGGGGGGGGGGCGGGTGCCGGCGGAGGGAGCTGGCGGAGCCCGGCTCGGGCACTGCCCGGCCCCCCACACCCCCCCCCCCCCCAAAATCCGCCGAGCACGGGCGGTCCCTTCGCCCCGGAGGCGCCGCCGCTTTGCTCGGGGAAAGGAAAACCAGCCGGGCCGAAACGCGGCGTGGAGCTCCCCACGCCGCCCCTCCCCGCGTGTAGGGGGTGTGCGCGTGTGCGTGCGTGGAATTTCTTGCCCAGGAGCGTGAGGTGCGTGGCGGTGGCTGAGCCCCGGCTGCGGGGGGGCAGCCGGTGGCTCCGAAGCGTTTTGCAGGGGGCTGGTCGCACCTCGGGGGGTGAAGTTTGCTCTGGCTCTTCTCCCGGTGCGAGCAGAGCGCGTGGAGGGCGCCGGCAGTTGTCCGAGAAACGTGGGGGTTTCAGTGGGATGGTCTTGCAGCACGGTCTGAAGTCCCCGTGTACTTTTATTGTCGCTGTTTACTTACCTGGGCTGGCTTCGGTCAGCGTGCTGTAACCGAATTTTGGCATTTTCTGAGTTGTGGAGTTTGTGTTACTGTTCTGCAGCGACACGGGAGGAGACATCTCGGGTCTGGTGTATTAATCCCTCTTTTTTTTGGGGAGGATTGCTTACCAGATAAATGATGGCTGTTGGGGTTTGTTGTACCATTCCCGATGCTAACGGTGCGCGGTAGATCGACGCAAGGATAATCTGCTCGGGATTATTCCTGGGGGGCAGCGGGGGTGGGGGGGGGACCTGTCGGTGCATCCACTCCTTTGGCGAAGTGGCCTATTGGCAGGACAGCTCTGTGCCTGCATTCACGCTCACCCTGACGGAGTTGGTTAGAATTTGCAAGATTACAACGAGGAAAAACATCCTAAAACTCAAAAGTGTTAAAGTTTTAGTACTAGCGTGCTGCAGCAGCCCTAGAGTAGCGCGTCTGAAGACGGTATTTTCTGAAAGCTGCCTAACTGCTCTTCGTGTGAGCTGTTGTGCGAAAGGCTGGAATGATGCAAACCTAGCTAGAGCCCTGTAAAAATAGAATTTTTCATAATGGAAACTGCGCTCAGATCTTAGTTGTAGCAGTATCAGCGTCTTCGGGTTGTTACGTAAGACTCTGACTCAGTTTAGCGAGGTTTGCCTCGCGAAGAACTGTTGAGTGTGGTGCTGTCACACAGATAATCAGTCGAAAGTGTGTTACTGCCTTGCACACCTGAGGTGTGGCCTCAGGTACTTTGCTCAGTCTAGTGGAAGATTTTGGTAGACTTCTGTGTTTTGTGCTGCGTTCCCACCTTCCTCTCCAGCAGGTACTGATGAACTAACTTTATTACATTTACTAATGCATTCATCTCATTTTCTCATTTTAATGCTGAACAGCTGTGAGGAGTCCTGCTGAGAGGGAGGATTTTGCTCTGGAGGGTGGCAGTTTACTTTTCTGTTGGAGAGGTTGTTTTGAACTAAGTGGTGTAAACACTTGCTTTGAACTTGTACTGCTTATTCCTTAGGATGTCGTAACAGTTTTGTTTTGGTTGAGAGAGCTGAAGGCATTGATATCTCTAGAGTCTAATTTCTTTTAATCTTTAACCAGTGCTGGTTTTTTAAAAGACTTAAAGGTAGTAGGAGTGCTCCTGCACTTTGTAATGATCCATAAACGTGGGTTGTATCAGGTTTGTTGTACTCATTTCCTGTTGGGCAGAGATGCAAAGGGTGGTAACTATGTATTGCTGCTGTTTTCAGAAGAAAAAAGAGTTGTGGTGTCTTTTTATTTTATTTTTTTTTTTTTTCCCCACCCCTTAGCTACTTAGGGAAACCACGCGGATTCTAACTTCTGTTGATGCAGTCTTATCCAAATAAAACGTAGTCTTATACAAATACAGGGTTTTCACTGAATGAAGCTCGTTACTTTCCAGTGAGTAAACTGCACGTTCGGAGCCACAAACCGCAGAAAGACGGCGTAAGACTCCTGTGAACTTCAGGTTCGGTGGTAGGGGTTGTGTGGAGGAATTCAGCCGAGGGAGCAGCCGGGCTCCTGGGACCCCTTCCTGCAGGGGCTGCTCCGTGCCCGGGCTTGGCTGGGGGTTATTTCTCTGCTTGAGGACACGTAGGTGGGTAGCTGGTGGTGCTATCAGGCCATAGCAGGTGTGTCCTAACAGTGCTAGGGGTTGGTAGGGGAGGGGGAAGGGAGGGCGTGTGCCATCCCATACTGAGCTATTTAAAGTAAAGCAGTATCTAGGAATTGGTTAATATGTTGTGCTGGCTGACTTCCGAAGGGCAGCGATAGATGGTTTAACGTTGGATTTAACGTCTGGTTTATAAAGATGGATACGATCTTGATATTTGGTAATATATGTTCTAAAGTTACTGTGGCTCCTGAGATGAATCGGTACTGCTGCTGCCGTAATTATAGGAAGCAGCACGGAGGAACTTCTCATTTTCTGTAATATTTTATGGAGATGTTTAACGGGAGTTCCTGTCAGTGCTGAGTTCTCCAAATTATTGTTGGTCATTGTATTTCTCTCCGTTGTCATCCTTTTATCCTCTTTGAGGTGCATACATTCCGATTCGGAAACAGTTTTAAGCCACAGACTATACATTTGCTCTTTCCTAATGTGTTTCATAAAGCTGTAACTGATTCAACAGAGAGTTCGTTTGTTTTGCTTTAATTTTTTGTTTGTTTGTTTGTTTTATTTTTTTTTTTTTTTAGTCAAACTCTTTAAACATTTTTCAAACTGGCCCTGCTGAGGTATGTTTGCCAGCTGTTTGCGATGGGCTAGTTTTAATTTCCAGGCTGCAGCACTGCAGCTGTGACCCACGGAAGGCAGGTGGCACTCTGCTCTCTGCCAGAGCTCAGGCTGTGCAGTCGAGGTGCAGTTTGCTGTTAAATCTGTTCTGAAAACAGCAAACTGTTTAAAAAAAAAAAAAAAAAAGGTTGGGGCTATTTTTTTTTTAGTTTGCTTCATAAATGTGTCTGATTATTTATTTCAGAAATTTGCCAGGTTACATCTGAGTGTAGCACATTTGCTTAACTTTTGTCAGGAAGGTAGCAAATGTAAACTGAGTTAATGACCCCAAAATTGCAGTCTAATTAGTGTCCTGTTCTTTCTTTCTTTCTTTCTTTTTTGCTAGAATGTCTATTCCAAAGTATGTAAATCTTTTGTCGTTTAGTGGATTTGTTCAGGCATCTCAAATTTGTGTCTTCCCTGAGGTACTATGATGCAATCCAATTGTCTGCTGTATAAATCAACTCTTATCTCCATACTCATTATTTTTGTACAAATATATTAATAAAACAAATTTTTATTTGGGGACCTCTTGGGAAGAAATCTGTACTTGTGTGCCAGGGTGTGTTAGAAAGTTGAGTAAGTTCACTGAGGAGCTGATGTTTGTCAGTGTTAGTAACAGAAAATTGGGATTGATATGGAGGCTGCAGTGAGGCCCTTGCAGGTGAAATTCTTGAGTTTAACTCAGTTTTTTAAACAGTTTGAATGATTTGGTCTAGAAAAACTTTAAATGCCGTGTAATGTGTCAGCTGCACTAACATTTCCAAACTTATCTCTAATTAGTTTATCTGTATTATGAAATTTCTCGTGTGGTAGCAAGGTAATAGATTTTAATTCCTCTTCTGATTTTAAAAATCAGGCTATACCCCTGAGCTTCAGTATACCTTAGAATTGTTGGATCTTCATTTCTGACAGAACTGGTCAAGCTTTTCAAGGCTACCCACCCCAGTAATGGAAATTAGTGTTTCACTTGGCGGATGTTGATTGAGTAGCTCTGCGTATTTGGCATGTAGTTTGCTGATTTTTTTAACTCCTTGCTAGATGAACAGCAACGTGCAACCACTTCACAGTATTTGTTTGGTTTAGGAGAAGCTCAGTTGTAACTTTTGGAGTGCTGAAACGCAGCCCGTCGTCCTTTCTCTCGTTAGTATTGGGAAGCTTTCTTAGGCTTTACTAAATACAATAAATGCATGGGAACATATGTGGTGGCTGCGGGGTTGGTTTATAATGTGAATGAAGAGATTGGCCATACTGCCGATTGTGAGATTTTTCTCACCTTCTCTTCCCCACCCCTTCCCCGAATTTCAAAATTTAGCTGCTTTCTCTGCTGCTCCCTTCCTTCCCTGAACTGCTAGTCCAGGTGGAAACCAGGAACGCTATTGAAATGTGCTTTCTGGTTAGACTTAGGTCTAGCTGAGAATCAAGAATGCTTAATGTAAAGTTAACTATAAGGACTCTGTAGTTAGAGAGAGTATTTTAATAATTCTGGGCCTTGTTCTTCTGACCTGCAGTAAGATTGTTGCTGAAGCACTCATTTCGATTGCTGGTGAACTCTACAGAC